AGTCCTAGCTACTTGGGAGGCTGAGGTGGGAGGATCACTTGAGCCCAGGAGCTCATGGCTGTACTGAGCTATGATTGTGCCATTGTACTCCAGCCTGGGCAGCAGAGCCAGACTCTTTCTCTAAAATAAGTAGATAGATAGATAGATAGATAGATAGATAGATAGATAGATAGATAGAAAACTTTTCAGATGCAGGAACGGAATCTACACTTCCTGAAATTTCTAATTGCTAATATCATTGTTAATACAAATTTTCCCACATAGTTCAATAAATGTTGTTGAATTATTCAGTTTTATATTAACTTGTGGTATATTTTTTTCTTGTTTTTCAGGAACTCATTTGCCAGAAGAATACTGTGAGTACTTTATTTAGCCTTCCAGAGTTTTAAAAATATTTTCTTTTCCATTAACTAATCTTCAGTATTTTTTAAATCACAAATTATTAATTTCTCTCTCTGTTACTCCTCTTTAGATTTTCTGATGTATCAATATAAACATGGTTATCTAAGTACTTCATTGTAGCGAAACTTTATTTTTCATAATGAGAGATGACACTGATACCTGTGTTTTTCTGTATATAATTAAGGTTTGGAAGAAAATGTTTCATAGTATATTCAGGCCAGACATGATGGCTCATGCCTGTAATCCCAGCATTTTGGGAGGCGGAGGCAGGCAGATCACCTGAGGTCAGGAGTTCAAGAACAGCCTGGCCAACATGGTGAAACCCCATCTCTACTAAAAATACAAAAATTAGCCAGACATGGTGGCATGCTCCTGTAATCCCAGCTACTCCAGGAGGCTGAGGCAGGAGAATTGCTTGAATGCGGGAGGCGGAGGTTGCAGTGAGCCAAGATCATACCACTGCACTCCAGCCTGGGTGACAGAATGAGACTGCGTCTCAAAAAAAAAATAAATGAATAAAAAAGAAAATGTTTTATAGTATATTCAGTGTTGTGGAAATATGAGTGGCTCTAAAGCAACCTATATCCGCACAGAGATACACATATGTGTGTATGTATATGTGTCTGTAGTAAGTTTCCATGGCAACATTCATGCCATCCTTTCAAATATGCTGTTCCCTTTTCCCTTTTCTAAATCATGATTCACCAACCTCAGTGAAGCCTTGATACGACAGGCTTTTCAAGATCATCTCTCCAGTGTCTGTAATCATGGAAAGGTATAGGAATAACAATACTGATAGCTTATATTGAGAGCTAGCCGGCTCAATATAATATAATTAATGTACACTAAGATATAGACATATCTATCATCTGTCTTCTACTTGAAGAGATTGATTTAAGTTCCTAAGTATTGTAGTCTGCCTCTGAGACTACACTACAGAATTCCTACCTTCCACACAGAATTAAACAAATATGAAAACATGAGAAAAGTAAATTTTAAATTTAAAAAAAAGCTGCGTGAAGAAGAATTATAATATAAAGTGGAGACAGCCTTGTTAGGCCAACGGTTGTGGCCAGTGGTTGTACATTTATTTCAGAAAGTAAGCCAGTATTTAAAAACCTTAAAGAATGTACCCCTGCAACTCAGAGTGAAGATAATACACAATAAGTTATAAAAGCCTGCACAAGATTTGATTTAAGATGACAAAATTAATAATACAATTGGTCACTTCTCCTTAAATCAGAAATTTTAAACCTTTTTTTTTTTAGTAATGATTATACAACTCTGAAGTAATTTTAAAACATATGCTTAAGATTTAACCAGGGCAGACACATATTTCAGCATAAATAATGCTGCCATTATAAACTCTTATCCTTCCTATCTCAACAGGAAATGAGCAATTGTTGCTTCATGCTTTAATGCACTGTTTTTAAATATTGTTTAATTTGTTAAAGGTGTTAAACTGTTTAATTTATCTCACACTCTTTTTTTTTTTTTTTAATAACAAATATTGATTGGACATGCACTGCGTGCCAGGCTTTGGGCTTGGTGCCTCAGGGTTCTCACGGGGGAGGCTGGAAGTGGAAACAAGCACATGTGTAACTGTTGTGTAGACAGTCTAATTGGTAGAAAATCAGCAAACAAAGAAGCAGACAAATTAGAAAATGAACGTAAGGTGATGTGCTAAAGAGAGGGTAGCCATTATGTCAGTGTCTTTCACAGAAGGTAGCACTCCCTGAGACCGAATGGCAGAAGGAAGTCCGTCCTGCCTAGCCCAGCTTGGACTTGTGGG